TTGCGATTTTCACTTGATTTATGTGAACAAATGAAATGTTCTCTCTAAAGCATTGCATTCTGTCATTTCACGTTCGTTGTTCAATTTTTTGCCTCATTTTTCATGCGCTTCTTAGGCATTGATTCACTTTTTGTACGCATTGCCTCATTGCTGCATTCAAATCGCTTCACGTTTATTTTCATTCAGACTGTTTTCGCTTTTGCAATTTTTCATTGCTTTTTCTTCCTTCATTTTTCCATTTCACATGTTCCGTTGATCGTGAAAATTTCCTTCCACTGCAATCTGTGCATTTTACACTGTCATTGCAAATTTGTTACATTCTAATGGCTGTAAAAACAGATTGTATGGGAGCGTAAAGAACGATATCGCACCATATGATAGCAAAGTTCCGCATCAATGAATTTATTTATCGCCGTTTATGTCAACAAACAATTGCCATCGTTTGAATGTTTTCCTCATAGTTGCATATTTGTTTTGCATTTTATTTGAAGAAACGTCCAAATGCTTTTCTGTGGGTTGGAAAACTTCATATCATTATGTTTATGAAGTGTTTTTTTTTTTGCAACAATTACTCTCGACCAGCAGAGCAGTTTACCGAAATTGTTTCGATGTAGAGAGCATTTTGCATCATTTGGCACGCACATCATTTGAATCATTTTTCTCTTTTAGTTGTCTGGATTATTTGAGGCATTCGATTTCAAAACGATCGTATTGAAAGACTTTTCAGTTCATTTGTGAAAAAAAAAACACAAATGCAATTAGTCTGTGAAAAATTTCATATTGATAATGTGAGATTTTTATATCGCTCATACAGACTCAGTTTTTCTGCGTTGTTTTGTTAGTTTACATCAATCCGATGTCACTAATTGTTTATTTTAAATTCCGTTTAAATTCTATAAAATCGAGCAATGAACACGACTNAATCCGATGTCACTAATTGTTTATTTTAAATTCCGTTTAAATTCTATAAAATCGAGCAATGAACACGACTCAAAATGTAACAATAAATTCATTTGTCAACGTGAATGCTTTCCGTCAAAACCCAGTTATTCCGTTCCTTTATATCATTTCTCACCAGTAATTCGATTAAAATGATTGAACAGATTGAAATGTTTGAAAATAGATTAAAATAATCCGGTGAGATGGAAACTGCAATGTTTTCAGGCCTAAATGAACATGCTGATTTACATTATTTCTGATCAATATTGCGTTCCTTCTCACCGTTCCTTCACAACATTTCTCACCATAGCTAAAAGGAGATCTAAACTTCCAATAACATATCGAATGATCTAAATAAATAATCTAAAATAACACACACACAACACAATAATAATCTAAAATTTACAATGTAAACAATATAATATCATGCAGCAAAACAACAACAAGAAATCATTAAAAATTCAAATTGCAATGACAAAAAAGCACGAAAATATCAACATTACGACGTTCAGTTTGCATCAGATCCGTTAAAATACAACATCAATAAACAGCACTTCATAGTGCTAAATACACAGTCAAGAGGTACATGTTGTAGTGCCCAAAGATAACTTCACATAATAATTGCCTCCAAAAAAATCGCTTAAAAAACCTCATATATAAAAAAAGCCCCAAAAAAATTAAATTAAGGGAGCAATATTACTCATATTGAAATGACGGCAGTACTGGTGACTGTTAAAACTGTGGCAAGCAGTTCAATGAATTGAGGAGATAAAAGACGAGGAGTTACCACATTGTTCAAATATTAGAATGAATATTAAGGCTCAATTAGAAATGGAATGTGCAAGAGATTAGACAGAAATGTTACAANAAATATTAGAATGAATATTAAGGCTCAATTAGAAATGGAATGTGCAAGAGATTAGACAGAAATGTTACAATAGTGCTGAACAGATTGAATGATTCAATATCGATTAAAGTAACTTGATGCGATGGAAATTGTGATGTTTTTAGGCATAACTAAGTATACTGATTCGATTAATCGACACTTAACAATTCGATATCACTATCTGAATTACGAATAATTTGAATATATAAGATATTATACTGTTCCGTTAGTTAAATTTGCGTCATTTCCATTCTCGTGTTGCTTGAGCACGTCTTGTAGGTCAATGTAGGCCAAAGTTTTATAAGTACCTGGTTCTAAGAGCTTTGCTGCTTCCTAAAAGAATCTATTATCAACCGGACACTTCCTTAAAACATTAAAAAATATTTGTGTAATGCTCTCACAATCAAATGCAAAGAACTTTTACTGTGTTCATAGGCTAAATGAAGTAAATAAATTGCGTATAAACTGTGCGCTGACTGTAAATGAAGTCAACAAACTGGACTATAAACTGTATTTTTGCAATGCNTGGATATTTCAACGAATTTCAACCATTTCGCACCAACCAATTGCTGTTTAAGTTCATCTTTTAAATCGCCCAGAGTCTCTAATTCATGCAAATCAACATGCCCATTCATTGTGAACACTCGATTAGTATTGAAACTAACTGAAAAACAAACTTTTCCTCGATTATCACCCACTAAATAACGATAATGTGAAAACAGTAGTTAGCAACCCGTTATCAGCCACTGCAATTCATCCAATTCGAACATTACTATTCGCGAAAATTCACAAAACACTACTTTTCAAAGCAGTACTGTTTTTCAAACATGTTCTTTTGTTAATACTGTTCTTGAGATTAGTTCAACGCCTAAATCATCGACAACTTCGATCAGACCGAATACGTTCAGGGGACAACTCAATGATCCGAAAAATATCGTTTAGAATAGTTTCCCATACAGTAAAAACAGTATGACTCTGTCACTGTAGCGATTCATAAAACAGCAATTTGTAAATGAATAACACATTTTACATTGATCAAGCTTGTATTTTTGAAA